GCGGGAGCAGTGGGTAGGGGGTACGCCGGTGTGGTGGTGGGGTTGGCGGGGATGGCGGTCGCGCCAGTAGCCGCAGCGCGAGTCGACAATGACGCCGACCGAGACAATGAAGCCATCCTTGAGCACACGCACCTCGGAGCCGATGTGCAAGTCGCGCAACCGGGCCCATGCGTCGCTGCGCCGCCTCCGCCGCCCGGCTGCCGATCCCGCACCTGGCGCCGGTGCATGGAGGCATGAGACTTGGCGGTATCAAGCTGTGCTTTCGAGGACTGCGACTACGATGCGGCTGCCTCGAGTGCTAGTCGGACTGGGCGACGCGTTGGTCGTGCTCGGGTTGCGGTGCGGCGCGTCGCCGTCGTCGGGGCGCGGCTGCTTGGCGCTGGCGCCGCGGTAGCTCGGCGGCGGCGGCGGCATCTTGAGCGACTGTGGTGGCGAGACGGGAGTGCTCGGTCAGCTAGGAAGCGCGGTGAGTGTGGCGGGAGATCCAGAACGGCCCTCGCGCCTGGGCCGTCACGGGATCGCGGGCGTCCAAGTACTGTCCCCGCACCGCCGCGGGCAGCAGCGGCGGCGGCGGCATGCACAACTGCTCTCGCACGAGCTTCATCATCGCAAGGCGCTTCTGTTCGTCGGTCCAGCCGCTGTATCCTGGCAGCTCGCCCTCGATCGCGGCCCTGACAGCGTTGTCGCTCAAAGTCTGAGGCGAGGTGTGCGTGGTGGGTGCAGCGCACGCGGTGGGAGCAGCATGCTCTGCCATGTACATCGGTGGCGCCACAAACAAAGCAAGAATACCTCTGGAGAGACAAACAAAAGCAAGCGCCTTGATCATGTGTGTAACGACACTGGAGAGATGCCTTTCGGGGCCCAGAGATGAAACTTCTGATGCCATGCGTGACCTAGTAGTGTCCCCAGCTATGGGCGTGTCCACGTTGGAGCCAGGTGTGGTGTGGACGCGAGGACGCTGGACGGCGAGGCACTTAGCTCCGTCATTGCTCACGACACAGGAGAAATAACCAATCCACCAGTCCACTCACTCTCACTCCCACTCCTGGTACTCCTCCGCCCCCACCTCCTCCGCCACCCACACCTCGCGGTCAAAGTAGTCGTAGCCCTCGACAACCGGCTTGTGGTTGCAGAGGACGATCGACATGCGGAAGCCCTTGCCCGAGGTCACGGCGTGCAGCAGCGCCTGCGAGGGAGGGCACACACAGATGAGAGAGCTGTGAGCGCACGCAGTCTGCACAGGAGCAGGTGCACCTCAAAGTCGCCAATCACCAGTGACCAGCCCGGGCACGGCAGCTCCAGCGACAGCGTCACGTATCGCTGGTCAAAGCCCTCAAAGTCACCGAAGATGAGCACGGCGCCAAAGCCGCGGTTGTGCTGGTCGCGGTGGACGTAGAGCCCGCTGTGCCCCTCACCGCTGCGCAGGTACGTCCAGCCCTTCTTCAGGTGGTCGAACCGCCTCTTTGGGAGGTTGTTGGAATCAACGTCGGCGTCCCAAAAGATGTTGAGCGAGGCGTAGGAGAACTTGAGGCCGAGCGGCAGCTTGTCGCGAAGGATGGCGAGGACCTGCGGCGTGACACTGGCGGGCGCGTTGAGCAGCACGTGCTGCGCCATCTTGCACAGCGGAATCACAATCCTCTTGAAGGCTGCCTTGGCCGGGCACTTCTCGACAGACCGCACGAGCCTGACGGCGCCAGGGTCGATCACCTCTCCCTGCGCATTCCGCTTTTTGCGACGTGCCTCGGGGAAGTTGTGGATTTGGCGGCAGGCTGGCGCACACTGCAGAGCCCAGCGCAGGTGGATGCAGCCGTGGAACCAGGCGGCCTTCACGTTGGCGATCTTGGCAATGGCCCGCTGGATGGTGAAGCTGCTGTTGAGCTGGAAAGCCAACAGTGAAGCCTTGCCGAGCTGGCAGCTCTGCCGCAATTTGGCTATCAGTCGACACTCCTCTCCCGACAGCGCCTCCCACACACCGCCGATGTCAAAGAGTGAGGGGAAGTAGACGAGGGCGGGCTGGACGCAGCCATCCATGCACCCCGTCGCGACGAGCGGAAGGCGAGGGTCGTGCCGGTACGCACGTGCCAGGACCGGGCACTCCTCTGGCGTGAGCGGCTTTGCAGAGTGCCCTTTGCCCTGGCCAATGAACGGCTCAAAGATACCCGCTGCGGACGGGTCGGACGGATGGTGCAGAAGCACCGCCTCACACATGCCCCAGTGGCGAAGAGGCCGGCGCATTGACTCCTGAAAAGCCAGCAGTGCTTGTAACAAGCCGAACCGTCGTTCCTCGCAGGCAGCTGCCACCACTTCTTAGGCGCCCCTGGGCAGGGATACGTCTTTGTCCAGCCACAGCTGCACGGAGGTGGATTCCATGGGAAGAAGCGCCTCCACACAGCCACGGCTCCATCCAAATGCTCCTTTTCGTCTGGCGCAGCCGCCGTCGTGGCGACAGCGCTCACACCAGATACCGCCAGAGCGAGCGTGGCCGCGAGCACGGCTGGCCTGCTAAGCCGTGCCATGCCCTCGCACGGTCTGCGGCGCAGGAAAAATGGCCTGGAGGCCAGGCCACAGGCGAGTTAGTAGGAACCAGACGGTTCCCTCGCGACGTGCGGCCCGAGCCCCTTCGGCCTATTTCGCTGTTGCGCGAAAGTTAGCGGGGCTGATTTACCTTTACTCGGTGGTTGAAAGCAACCCATTCAAAATTGCGCCGCCTTTTCGCCAACACTGATTGCAACGGCCGTCGGCGGAAATACTCACGGGCGATCCGTTCGGAGAGGGAACCCCGGAGGCGAGCGAGGGCCCGGGAGCGCGGTTCGTTCGGTGGGGGGGGGGGCGAGTCACGCTCATTCCGCTGCGGGCGGGCGCAGACGCGGCGCGCACTGTTGACGGCAAGACGGCGCTGGAGTTGGCCAAGGAGGAGGGCCACGCCGAGTGCGTGCGCGCCTTCAAGGAGCACTCGACGACCGCAGCAGGCACGACACCCCTCTCTGCTCCTCGTGACGGAGTGTGGATGCGAAAGATTGAAATAGCACGAGAAAGAAGACCGAGTATGAATGAAGAGAGGACAGGGTGCCCCAGCTTCTGCTGAGTGAGGGAAATCTCTTTTTCTAATAATAGCTCAGTGCGGAGAGGGGGGCCGTGAACATCCTTACCTTGTGAGCCAGGAAAAGGGTTGCGTTGTTGCGTTACATGGCAGGAAAGGGGATAAATTCTCTTTGCACGCCACCTGTCCTGTGCGGCGCCTCAGCTTTTTTATATCGGTGTGCTTGTCGGCTGCTCCTCCTCCGCTTCCCTGAGTCTCACGGCCATCATCGTCGCCCTGACATCATGTTCGTACGACGGCTAAGCTGCCAGGTTGCCACTGTCTCGCTCCTGGTGCACACGCACGCTCTGCGCATGCCTTTTGCACGCGGCTCGACTGTGCGCATGGCCGCCAGCAATGCAGCGACGCTTCCGAAGCAGGAGACGGGCATTTCTGCGCTGCTGGATGCTCAGCCCGAGGCCGACGGCCGCGGCACGCTGGTGGCTGTCCTGGACACAGGCTGCGATCTCGCGGCGGCCGGCCTCCAGGAGACAAGCGACGGGCGGCCCAAATATGTCGATTTTATCGACTGCACCGGCGGCGGCGACATCGACACTTCAAAAAAGGTCAAGCCGGCGGAGGACGGGACGCTCGAGGGCCTCTCCGGCCGGACTCTCAAGCTGGGTGGGTGGGCCGAGGGCGTGGACGAGTTCCGGCTCGGGGCGCTCCGGTTGTATGGCCTCGGCTCGATGCCGACCTCGGTGTTGCGCCGCCTGAAGGAGGAGCGCAAGGCGGCGTTTGTGATGCAGCATCAGGCTGCGGTGAGCGCGGTGCAGCGCGAACTCGACGGGTTGGCGGACGGCGCGCCCAAGGAGGCAAAGAGGGACCTCGAGCTGCGGCTCGAGCAGTACGACGCGATGATGGACGGCTACACGGACCACGGACCGCTGCTCGACGTGCTGCTGTGGCGGCAGCAGCCTTCGGGCGTGTGGCAGGCCGTCATCGACGTGGACGGCGAGGGCGACCTGAGCGCGGCTGAGCCGATGGCGCCGTACGCGCACGCGCGGCAGGTTGGCGACATGGGGCACGGGTCTGCGCTCACGTACTGCGTGCAGGTTGCTCCCCCTGTCACACCAAGCTCGAGTCTCCCACCACAATCGCTCCCCCAAGGTTGAGTCTCCCGTGCCGCTCGCTCCCCCAAGCTTAGGTCTCCCCTGCCGCCGCCACAATCGCTCCCATTCAACCCGCCGCCACCGCTGTACGACAGGTCTACGACGAGGGCGAGCGGCTCAGCGTCGTGACGGACGCGGGCTCGCACGGGACGCACGTCGCGGGCATCGTCGCCGCCAACTTTGCTCTCGACTCCGCGCTCAACGGCGTCGCGCCGGGCGCGCAGGTGCTCGCTTGCAAGATCGGCGACGGCCGGCTCGGCTCGGCAGAGACGGGCACCGGCCTCGTGCGCGCACTGATCGCCGCCAAGGCGCGCGGCTGCGACCTCATCAACCTGTCCTACGGCGAGCCGGCGTGGCAGCACGATTCGGGACGCGTGGCCGAGACGTTCACAGCGGCGGTGCGGAAGTGGGGCATGTGCGTCTTCACGTCGGCGGGCAACGACGGCCCCGCGCTCTCGTCGCTCGGCTCGCCCGGCGCGCTCTCGGCGCCGATCTGCGTCGGCGCCTACGTGAGCCCGGCGATGATGGCGGAGCAGTACTCGATGCTGCCGGTCGCCGACGTCTCGGGCGCCTCCTACTCCTTCTCGTCGCGCGGCCCGACGCCGGACGGCTTTATGCCTTCGCTCTGCGCCCCCGGCGGCGCGATCGCGCCCGTGCCGCGCCACGCCTTGCAGGGTAAGGCGCAGTACCACGGCACGTCGATGAGCTCTCCCAACGCGTGCGGCGTCGCCGCGTGCGTGCTCTCGGCGCTCAAGCAGGCGGGGCTCTCCGTCGGCCCGATCGAGCTGCGGCGCGCGCTGGAGAACTCGGCGCGCCCGATCGAGAGCGAGCCGTTCGCGCAGGGCGCCGGGCTGATCAACGCGCCCGCGGCGCTCGCGTACGC